GAGAAAATGATGTCCGAATTTTTTTTGTTTTTTTGGACGAACTATCCCTTTAATATTACTGTTACACTATTCCAGTTACCCTTGGCTGGAAACATGTGAGACTGTACAGTCAGATGCCCAGCCATAAAAAAAAAACAACAACAAACAGAACCGTTTCAACAGCAACCAAGCTTTCATGCATGCTGGGATGAGAAAAGTATTGAATTTTGTGCGCAGGGCAATCTATCTGGTATCACTAAGATCTCCAAAAAAGGCGAGTCATAAAGTGATCCAATGCAGATGTAATGTAACACAGATGTATTGGAATCTATTGTGTCTTCGAGAAGTCATACTGAGACTTGAACAAATCGTGCATTCTTGCTTCATGAAGCAATATAAATTCAGCCGTGCACTGTATGATTCATAAGCAAATAAATCAAAGGAAAAGCACACTGTATCCCCTCGGTTTTTTCGTGACCCACAAACATTCGTTCTCTGTGTCTCTGTGACATTAAACCAGCAATGTGTTTCTTTATAAGCCAACACAGAGTAATAGAAATGTCATTCAGGGCACAGTTGCTGGTGGCAGCGATGACATCATCCTGCTTCCTCTCAGCATGTCATTAAGAGCCAGTGGCTAGTGACCCCTCTGTGTCACTATTGACTGTCCACTCTGTGTTCACAGGAAGCTAATTGGCCTGATTCGGTTGAACAGACATGCGATCAGTCCCTTCCTGTTGCACATGTAACTGTACTAGAGATTAAGACCGGATGTTGTGTTCTTTCAGAGGTCTTTGTGGTGACCTGGAGAAAGACAGAATAGTGTAGTTACAGCATCTACCAGCAGAGGCTAACTGGACTATGAACCAGGCAAATCTTGAGCTCTATACATAATGATAAATATCCACTAAGAGCAGATCCTAATGTTTAAGCGTTCATGTGACACAGTCTCTCACAGGAGCTGTGTTTTTTCTTCAGCTTTTATCTTTTGGTCCATTTCATTCATTACAGTCAGCTGTGTGAATTAATTCATGGGTTACCATGGATATGTCTGCCCCAAGGTTGATGATGTCAGGAGTTTGCAGTGTTGCATAAGATGAGACATGCTGCCATCTGCTGGACAAACTGTGGTATATGATTAAATAAAGTCAATCTACAGTTGAAAGACATTGGAATCAATTATACAACAATGAAACAATGGAACCTTTGGAACTTATTAACATTTTATTAATAAAATAATCTATTGTATCTATTGTGATCTTCAAAGTGTTTGTCACCAAAAATGTTAATGTAGTTTTACATGACCTTTTTGTTACTGTACCTTTAAGGTAATGCTGTCTTCATGTTGAAACAATGTTAAATTTTCCTGAAAAAACGGCCTATGATACAAATCATTGTCAGCTACTGTTACGTTAATTTATTAATTTAATTTAATTTAATAAATATATGTATGTATATTCATTTCTAAGTAATTGAACATTTTGTAAAAAGGCTTCTCTTAAACAAATACATGTACAAAAATCTATGGGTGCACAAAAGTTTTAATATCAAAGGAAATTTGAGAGGCAAGGGGGCATTACAAAAAAACATTGCCCTTATGTCTGTATTTTTCTCTGAATCATGTCCAAAGTTAAATAGCAGATTTTTTTTCATAAAGTATTATACTTTATTATTCTATATAGTATTGTTGGATTATATTCATTGTGAATTATACACTATGTTACCCTAGTAGAATCATGGAGCATTGTCATGTAAAACTCAATCTGTAGCAACATGGACATGCAATGAATGTTCAAAAGTGATGTTCATTGAAACTGTCATAACTATTTACGATACATCGTTTAGGATACTGCGGCCTGCATATCTGTCACCACATGCAAACAACTCCACCGCAAACATGCCATAAATCATCTACAAATTATTTGAGCATGTTTGTGGGGCTTTTAGCATTAGTATAGCGTTCTAACGTTTCCTTTCTACTTAAGTTCACTGAGTCCCCACACAAGTCCCTTTTGCTTGGGGGCCTCTAAACACCATCACAGCTTGTCCATATGGAAACTCTGACCGTTCCTGGCAAGTTCTAAGAGAAAACAGCAGTATTTAATTTCAGCTGATCACATTCATTTGAGGGGAAATGGAATGGGATGAAACAGGGGGAATATGTTTGTTCCTATTTTATATGTTAATTTTCTTTTTAAATTACACTGATCTCCACTAAGTGGAAAGAAGCATCCCCAGTGAACTTATAAGAATGTATAACATCATTCCTTATGTTTTAAGTTTCTGGGTTTGTCATTTAAACTTCAAAATATCCCAGTTACAGAATATAATATATCCTTAGAATATCATAAAAATATACCAATTATAGAGTATTACATACCCCTAACCCAAAATATCCCTGTTATAGCATATTATATAGCTCCATATATGTTGATAGAATATAGAGTATTTATAGAGTATTGTATGTCTCTATATATTTTTTTGTTATTCTAAATATATATCACATTATATTCTATTCTATATAGCACTGAAATGTCAGTTAGTGCATGTGAGTTTCATGTGAGTCAATCAGTGTCTAATTGAGATTTTCTGAGAATAGAGCAGCATAGATCAGGAATGACTACAGATGTCATGCTTAAATGACAGAGATCTGAACCTTTCATTTTGTGTGGTAGACTGTGTTTCTGCTCCGTCAGAGTCTAAATTGATTGAACTCTCTCTTTCAGGATCTGGACTCATGAATGTGGTCTACACATTGTTTCATAACCCCACTCTAATTTGGTCAAATCATTCCCTCACGAGACCATATCGCTAGACTACTAGCCATTTAAGATTATATTTTAAAATATATTACGATAGAAAACAGTTATTTAAATTGTAATAATATTTTGATATAATTTTTTTTTATCAAATACAGTATATGCAGCCTCTGTAAGCATAAGCGACTTCTTTCAAAAACATTCAAAGAAAACATTATATTATATCAGTAATGAATTTATTGACAATTTTTCTGAGAGTCATACCCCTGAAGAGTTTTTGGTTTTAACTGTGAATGAAATGTTCTATTTAGACATTTGTCCAGCTGTTCGGCATAGGGGGTTGGTGACCATGCTTGAAAAAGCAAAAGACACAAACAGTAAAATTCCAGGCGAAAAGTTACGCAAATCACATCTGAACATCTTTAATGTATCACTCTGACCCTGTGAGTGGGAGCTGCTGTTACCTTTCACCCAGATTATGATCAGAGCGGCTGTCAGTCGTCCTGTTCTGATGAGTTTATAAGGACTTGTTGAACGTGGTCTATTGATTGGCAGTATTTTATTTGGCTGATGGCTGATGAGGGTGGCAGAACGATGTCTGCTGAAAAGGGGTCAAAGAGATCGAACTGATCCTTTCACATATCAATCCAACAGACAAAGCCGTAATGACAAGATGGTTTAAAGCGAGCTGCTTTGAGGGATCCTGACACACTGTTAATGAATTAGATTTGTGACAGTGAAAAGGCATTTAAAGCAAAGAGGGTCAGAACTGTCATTATCAAAATGACAGTGCATGTAATGATGACAGTTTTCAGTTTATAAAAACAGTCAAATAAACAGGATTTTAATAGGAGAAACAGAATGCTCTGTTGAAAAAGCTGCCATCAATTTTCATGTTGGTCTGGGCTGATTCATACTGGTTTGGTGCTGGTCCAGTCGGTGGATCAGCACTGCCATGTTCCTCACAAGCAAAACTTGACGAGACTGGTCAACTAGTCTTTCTGGTGAAATTTTGCAGGTTAAGCTAGTCAAGAAACATGATGGATACACTCGTACACCAGCACTCCATGCTTCACATACACTAGTGAACAGATATGCTGGTCTAAATAATAATAATCATCATCATCAGCATCATCATCCTCTAATGGGAAAATAACTTCAAATGCCTCAGTAAAAACCTGTTACTTGGTTTCCTTACCACATATGATCATACATTACATTAAATTTAACAGGACACATCATTCATATTATATTATATTATATTATATTATATATTATATTATTCCTGCAAATTTACTATAATGTTACTGGGAAATTATTTATGAAAGTATTATTTTAATAATAACAATAAAAATAATAACTATATTATTATTATTATTATTGCTATTATTATTATTTAAAATCAATCATAAACCTTTTAATTATAATATAATATAATAATCACTGCACATTATTGCACTTTTACTGCAGAAATGGAAGTAATTTATAGTAATAATTATAATAAAAATAAGAATCCTAATTTATTTTTATTATTTAAAATAAGTTTACAAACAAAAATATAAATAAATAATTAAAACTAAAATAAAACAAAACAAGGATGTTCTCAGAAGTCTTGGCATGGCACATCACTTTATATTTCAATTTACCCTTATTTATTGAAAGGCCTGTTTTAAAATATAATAATAATAATTTAAAGTAAATTTGATGGGAAAGACTTTGGTAAAAACTTGTTAACTGATGAACTTTAATTCATCCTGTGTTCTGTTTTACCACAAAGTTCACCAAAGTATAGTTCAAGCTGACATTTTAACATTATATCAGTTAATGATATGAGCTGTTGAATATAAAGACACAAGTCTTTAGGTAGGTAATAAGGGCTGCTGTTCGGTTCTTGATGAACTCTGGGTTAATTCTCATGGTTCCTGATTCACAGCGTGTCCGAAATTGGAGCATAGATTTATGATTTTCACTGTCATGTTTCCTGTTGGTCCTCCTCATGCTCAGTCAGGGTTGCTTTAATATGCCTGAAATCAACACAAACACTGGGAGCACTCGTGAGGTCCTGCGGCCCTATCAGTGTCCGTAGCGGCGGTCCTCAGGCAGGCACATGACTCCAAAACCCTCAGTCAAGCTGCCGATTATACAAATGCTCCATGAGTCCAAGGCACATGTAACGCACAGCTCCAGTTTCCTTGACGACCAGCCTGACCAGCCACCTGCAAAGGCCAGTGTCTCTCTCTCTCAACTTCTCAGAAGTGTGGCCGCTGCCTTACTGCACAAACCTACAGGTCAGCTATGAATCTCACTCAACAGGACCAAAAGCTTGACATTGTGTTAAGAAACCAGGGCGTCACAGACTCAAACTTCGAAGTAAGTGCCAAAAAAATGATTCGAAATAGCTTGATCCTGAGGAAAACAAAAACAGTCTTTATCAATTGCTGTTTGTTTCTCTTCATCACATGTGTTTTAATGGAAAGCCCTGGAATTTTTCCTTGGGGCTTGTTTTGTCGGTTTTTGTCACTAGTTAGTGAATACATGTTATCTGAATGTGAAACAATACTAGTGTACATTGTTTTCTGGTGGATTATGGGTTAACCGTGGTTAATATATACCGGTGATCATGCTTACTGAACAACAAAGTCAAGATTTTACGTAACTGTTGTAGTTCAAACTGGATTCCAAACTTCTAAGGCTCATTTTCACATCATCATAACCATCTTGTCATTAAGGAATTATATGAGTAATCTGAGAAGTTAATAAGACTAACTTGTGGCCTTGAGAGGCCCCATATGAATGCTGGGCTTGTTGAGGTAATATTTAGCTGATGTTTTAGTGAAATTCTTGTTGCTACCACATGATGTATTATTAATGTGCTTTACAATGCCAGTTTCTAAACACACATAACCACAAAATCAGATAAAACTGCATAAGAAGTTTCATTTTAAATCATACAGATTTCAATATGATGTAAGAGAATCATTTACAAGTATTTTTCTAAACATCCTTAAAATAAGATATGACGTTACTTTTTTTCTTATTGAATATTGTATCTTTTGACATAAAATATTTTAGTATAACTCTCCTGTTGATAGAATGAGAAAATGTTAAATAATAAAATCCTGATTGCAATAGAAAAATCACTTTTGTGAACAGTTTGTTTTCTAAAAATCCTTAAAATAAGACAGTATTTTTATTACTTAATATTGTGCATTTATTGTAATAAAATCATATTTTAAAGAATAAACCTATGTAAATTATTAATTTTATAAATAAAATCCATCCACTAGGGTGAGAAAAATAAACATAATAATTAAGGATATATTTTCTGAGAATAAATCAATTTAAATAACACACACACACACACACACACACACACACACATTTGATTTATTCTCTGAGAATATCTTTAATAATTTACTTATTTCGTTTATTTATAACATCTTACAAAATAACAAATGAATAAGCTCCTGTCTGTCATTTTGTATCATATGCTGTGGAGGAAAAGGCTGGTAAAGACCAGCGTAATTTAATGAGGGACCGAAAACTGATTTATAAAGGTCAGATGGCTTCAGTGGGGCTTGTTTTGTCGGTTTTTGTCACTAGTTAGTGAATACATGTTATCTGAATGTGAAACAATACTAGTGTACATTGTTTTCTGGTGGATTATGGGTTAACCGTGGTTAATATATACCGGTGATCATGCTTACTGAACAACAAAGTCAAGATTTTACGTAACTGTTGTAGTTCAAACTGGATTCCAAACTTCTAAGGCTCATTTTCACATCATCATAACCATCTTGTCATTAAGGAATTATATGAGTAATCTGAGAAGTTAATAAGACTAACTTGTGGCCTTGAGAGGCCCCATATGAATGCTGGGCTTGTTGAGGTAATATTTAGCTGATGTTTTAGTGAAATTCTTGTTGCTACCACATGATGTATTATTAATGTGCTTTACAATGCCAGTTTCTAAACACACATAACCACAAAATCAGATAAAACTGCATAAGAAGTTTCATTTTAAATCATACAGATTTCAATATGATGTAAGAGAATCATTTACAAGTATTTTTCTAAACATCCTTAAAATAAGATATGACGTTACTTTTTTTCTTATTGAATATTGTATCTTTTGACATAAAATATTTTAGTATAACTCTCCTGTTGATAGAATGAGAAAATGTTAAATAATAAAATCCTGATTACAATAGAAAAATCACTTTTGTGAACAGTTTGTTTTCTAAAAATCCTTAAAATAAGACAGTATTTTTATTACTTAATATTGTGCATTTATTGTAATAAAATCATATTTTAAAGAATAAACCTATGTAAATTATTAATTTTATAAATAAAATCCATCCACTAGGGTGAGAAAAATAAACATAATAATTAAGGATATATTTTCTGAGAATAAATCAATTTAAATAACACACACACACACACACACACACACACACACACACACACATTTGATTTATTCTCTGAGAATATCTTTAATAATTTACTTATTTCGTTTATTTATAACATCTTACAAAATAACAAATGAATAAGCTCCTGTCTGTCATTTTGTATCATATGCTGTGGAGGAAAAGGCTGGTAAAGACCAGCGTAATTTAATGAGGGACCGAAAACTGATTTATAAAGGTCAGATGGCTTCAGGGGAAACAGTGGAACACCGTCTTATTGTTTCAGATAAACACGCCATTTTCTCACTTCATCCTATTCTCTGTTTACTTCCTTAAGTGCAAAAATAGCCACCATAGTCCAACAACAACCAACCCTCAACCAGCTTTTAATATTTTGCTGAGTTTTACAAAAGACCAGTCACTAGCATGTGAAATTTCTTGTCATGAGTAATTAAAGACTTGATTAAACATTTGCATAAAATCTGCAATCCTACACAGTGCATAACAACATGTGAGTCACTCTGGCTGCTGTGAAATAACACAAATGACTTAATTTAGCATTATATTTAGTAAAATAAATAAATAATAAAAACAAGGTGGATCAATCCATGACTGAGTCAGATAGAACCGATGCCTAAAAATGCAACTACCACTAGGAGGCGGTAGCCGCCACATAAACCACAGATATTTGCAGAATTTGTTTACTGTATGCAAAGCCTTTAACAACATGAACAACTATGTATTTATATCCTTAATAAAATGTCTTTGAATTGACTACTTGACTGGCACAACTTAACATCACAGCTTGATCCTGAAGCATGACTGTGTTTACAACAACAGTTGAATGGATTTAAATGCCACACTTACACGAAGATTATCATTTTTGGGGAAAACAGACTGGAGGGGCTTATAGTCTAAGTTTTTTCAACACCCACACAATATCGATATGAAGCAGTAACGTTATAGGTGGCAGTAGAAACCGTTCAGAAAAGCCCCGTGCGTCCAGTGCCCGAGGCGGCGTTGCTCAGGTAAATATGGTGTAGGCCTATTTCATTTAATGAGTTTAGTAGCATTAATGCCAAATTCACCCCCTGGACCTCAACCAGAAAGAAGGTGGTGTGTAGGTTTGAGTGTAGTGTAAATTCCTTAGTCATAAATCACACATCTTTACATTCAAACAACTCTGAAAACACAGCATCCACACATTTCCTTATCAGTTAGACGCATTTCATTCTCAAGACAGTGACTAGATAGTACGGTATGTTTGCCAAACTACATGCTGATACGTTGCTGTAAAATCATTTGGACATGTTTGTGACATTAATTAGGTACTAATAAATCATAAAAAGTAGCTATGTATCAATCTGTGTGGGGCTGGACTAGTTGAGGATATTAATTAATTGATCAAACGTCTGAATAAGCTGTTTGTCTGTTTAGCGTTCTTTCTTTCTTAATTTCTTTCTTTCTTTCTTTCTTCTGTAAATCAGTTTATCTGTATGTTGCTAGATAACCAGATGTGTCTATTTAGCTATCTAGTTGTTTTTTTCCCATCTAGCTGTACGTTGCTGTAAAATCATTTGGACATGTTTGTGACATTAATTAGGTACTAATAAATCATAAAAAGTAGCTATGTATCAATCTGTGTGGGGCTGGACTAGTTGAGGATATTAATTAATTGATCAAACGTCTGAATAAGCTGTTTGTCTGTTTAGCGTTCTTTCTTTCTTAATTTCTTTCTTTCTTCTGTAAATCAGTTTATCTGTATGTTGCTAGATAACCAGCTGTGTCTATTTAGCTATCTAGTTGTTTTTTTTCCATCTAGCTGTTAAGTATCTATCTATCTATCTATCTATCTATCTATCCTATGTCTGTTTGTCTGTCTGTAAAAGCTGGAAATTCATCTGTCATCATTTACTCACACTGATGTTGTTTTAAATCCATATGTCTTCCATGGAAAACAGAAAAAAGATGATGTTATTCAAACAGCCTCAGTCACCATTTACTGTTGTTGCATGTTTTTTCCCCCCATTCAGTAACAGAAATGGTGACTGACACTGTCATTCTGCCAAAATCATCTTTTGTGCTCCACAGAAGAAAGAACGTCATACAGGTTTGGAATGGCATGAGGATGAGTAAATGATGACAGAAGTTAAATTTTTGGTGAACTAAGCCATCATCAATCTCACATCATCATAGTGGCTTGCTTGTTCACACATGAATGAATCCTTATTCCTTAATTTTAAAGAAATTATGTTTTGAATTTGAACTGAGGACATGTAGCTCATGAAAAGAAAAGAAAAGAGCAATCCCTTTAAAATTGTGCATGCTTACATATGCACTGGACCATGTAACACATTAAAACAAGTCACTTGTTTGTTGTATCGTATATCCCCCATGAGGTGCTCTGTCCTGGTTTTTCTTAACAGCAGATCAACCACAGACCGAACATTGTTTAAAAGGCCCATTCTTGGCTGATAAGTGCTCATTTGAATGAACTTCTCAATGAGCAAGAATCACAAGAAAAAAAGGGTGAGTCATGAAGATAGAAAGGAAGGCCATACCTCCTAAAATAATAAAAAATAGTAATAATAATACATATATTTATATAATTTTCTGCCTCTAGTGAATACATTTTCAGAGGGAGGTTGTGTCTCTATTTAGACCAGTGTAAAAAGTGTTCAATTTAATGAAACTTCATTATGACTTGATTTTAGTTAACAAAAACAAAACAAAAAAATTATTGGTACTGGTTGCTTGTTGAAACATCAAATAGAACATGTTGCTGAGAAGAGTGTGAGAAATGTTAATTAGAATTATATTTATTTATTTCAATACTGAAAATATATGTAATTTTATTAAATAAAATAAAGAGTAAATTAGAGTAAATTAAACAAGAAAATAAAAAAGGAGTTTTATCCAAAATTTAAGAAAGTATATTTATGCTTATTAGAGTATTAGGTTAACCTGCAGTTGTTGCCTTAAAGAGTTATTTCTACATCATAACTAGGGTTGTAAATGGGTGCTAAATTTAACATTTTGCTTGTATAGATGAATTTATTTTAGGATCATTTATCCATATTAAAAAATTTTTTTTGAGTGGAATAAAACCAGTTAATGTACATGATAATCTAGAATATTTAGACATTGCAGGTCTCCGTATCTTGTTTCTCAAAAGGATTTAGTGGTCACTGTCCTTTGCTCTTTAATTTATTAACCTCAATCCTGAGTCTCCTAGACTATGTTGGAATAATCTCCACTACCCTCAGATTTCAGATGTCAGCCATGACACTGAGAAGACCGTCATTGCTGACCCCCGTGCCGAGAGTCTGGAAGAGGGTCTGGACTCGAGGCCTGAAGGCAACCTTATCTACTCCATCAACGATCGCCCACCCTGGTACCTCTGCATTCTTCTGGGTTTCCAGGTGAGAGACGACATGCGACAAATGCAGCGTAACCCCTGCTACACTTGAAGCTTCTTAAAGCACACATCTCATAAGTGGGCAGGTCTCTCCTTAAACTACTGACACAGGGGACCTTTAATGGCATTTCAGGGTTAAACTGACAGCTTGACAGCTTCCTCAGTGCGTGCCAAGAAAAAGTGTGTGTGTAATCATCTAGGTGGGAGAGTTGCCTTGAGGGGCAAGATCAGGGTGACTAAAGATAATGTTTAACCCCTTAATACCCAGGAATACTGCCCTGACGCTTGATCACATCTCACAGATCCACTTATTTTATACATAGCCAGTCTTTTTTGGGTGTAGAGAGGAAACATTGCGCTAATCACATATTTATTGTTTACATACAATGAGGCTAATTTCATTGACCCCATGACTTCAGTTGCTTTTTTTGTCTTCATTTCAAAGTCAAATTAAATACGAACCTAAGACGTATTTACACTGCAAGTCCGCAAGTCGCCTAATTTGCTTGCAGTGCTTAGATGCTTAAAATGGGAGTATTCAAACTGTCGCTTTCTAGTAGATGTTCCTACTAGGAATGGGGATTATCATGTATTTCATAACCGATTCCAATTGATAAGCTTTCATTTTTAGATGAATTATGCCTTTACGGTCCATTCACACCAAGAACGAAAACTATAACAATAACTATATATAAATTAGTGTTCATTCGCCCTACTGTAATGTTTATTCTAAGAGCACACTGCAGCTGTAAGGTTTACCAACTGAAGATATATAGCTCTAAAAGGGATTCCAACCTTATCTTCCCTCTGTGCTGTCATAGTTGTGCCATTGTCTCCACAATTGTCTTAAGTTGCAGTCATATTGGCAAAATATCTGTGAAATTTTGCAGCCAAAAAATTATCCACTGGTGTAGTGATATATGAAGTACAGCTCACACAGAAGTCCCTTTCAAACCAAGCAGTTTTCTCTTGGTCAACATAGCAAATTCATGTGACCAACTTGAAAACTTGAACTTCTTCCCGAAACTCCCAATTCTTATTGAAATGACTGGATTTTACCCGCAAAATCACCCTGCAAATGTGACCATACCTTTAGAGCTGGAGTGATTTTTTAAAACGTTTTGGTTATAGTAAAAGTTCTTGGCCTTCACAGTTTCCATTTTACAACTTTGTTGCATCACCACTGTTCTCTTTCACTCAAAACCTCCAGTTCTCATTAAAACGAATGACTTCTGCTTGCTTTGACGCTTGAAATCACCATGAGCACCTCAAGGCTTTGCTGCCACTCTAGACGATGTTATTCCTTATTATATGCATCTGATGTTTAAGGTGAGGAGAACATGAGCCAAAGTGTTCCACTATTTCGTCCTCATGACACATGGAGATCAAAGACAACTGGGTGGGGGGAGAGAAAGGGCAGGAAGGTGCACAAGGGACTCGCATCGACATGTGAGGTAAGATGATGTGCCGAGTGCAAAGAGAAGTACAAAGAAGAAGCCTCACTCCTCCAGCATGCTCGCTTTCATCTCTCCGATGTCACGGAGGGGAGAGGAGGAAAAAGCAGGGAGAGACCTGGTATTTCATGTCAGCGCAGACTCCCTTAGAGCCCCCAACTCGTTTCTGCTTTCATTACCAATGTTTTCATACTAATACAATCCCTTTAGTGTCATGAAATGCAGTTCAGTTCAAAACTGTTTTGCCCGCTCTACTTGACTTCTGGGGAAAGGAAGCTGTGAAGGCATAAACCAGAACTGCTGAAAAACAATAAAACAACAGGAATTTAAGTGTGGACAAATTAATTTATTTCCCTGTTTCTCCTGCTGTGTAAATTCTCTCCTGTGCATCATCTCTGTATCCGCACAGTAATCGCCTGTCAAAGATGCTGAGCGTTCAGCCAAGTTTTACTTTTTCTGAGCCCGACAAATTTATGAAGCTTACTGCTGAGAGTAAAAAGGGCAATCAATTCACAACAGACAGGCCAACATCTGACTTCCATTTTTTGCACATCTCCCTGGCTTAGTCAGGCCACATTTAAGATTTGCAACATTTTTTTGTGATCATCTGTCTTCCCTTATGTCTCACCCCTTATAACGGGTTGTTTGCGATGAGCCCAAGCCCGGTGTCATCGTGTCAGCTATTCATTCCTGTTTCTTGCGTCACACAGCATTACATACTGGCATTTGGTGGCATCCTGGCAATTCCTCTCATCCTAGCCGAGCCGTTGTGCATCAAAGAGAACAACGCTGCCAAAAGTCAGCTCATCTCCACCATCTTCTTTGTCTCGGGCATGTGCACTTTGCTACAGACCACCCTCGGGACCAGGTACTGGGATAAATATTGCTCAAAGTGTGAATTACTGTGTATACATACGCTGCCAGCAGAAAAAGTGCAAAAATTTACCTTGAGTTCATATTGGTTCATAATTGATTCTGCTATTTTCCGGTTTATCACTATGAAGCTGCTCTATTCTATAAAGCTCCATAGAAATAAAAGTGATGTGATTTGATTAATACACAACCTAAAAAATTTATTTTGAAGAAAGTTTCAACTGGTTTCACAAACATTAAACATCGAGCCCCGATGACTTTCATTTTATGGAGAAATCACGTTTATTTTATATAGATAGCGCTTCATACAATACAGATTGTTTCCTAGCATCGTCACAGAAATAAACAGGAAAACAGCAGTGGTGTAACATTTCTACTTCAATTCTAGTTAGTTTTTCCTGTAACTCAAACAGTCTGGCATGGCACTAGCATTGCCAAGGTCATGGGTTCGATTCCCTGGAAAAGCAATGTGTAAAATATATGTGAATGCAATGTAAGTCTCTATAGAATTTAGTGTCTGCCAAATGCATAAATGTAATCTAAAAATCTAAATTTCAGCTCTACAGAAGACATTTGTCATTATTCAGGTCAAGTCAGTTCAATTGACCCTTCGCAAAGACCCACCCCCCTTAGTTACTGTTGCTATGTCCGACAAGCCATGGCACTCTCACGCCACACATCATGTTCTCACGCAGTGAAAAATACATTGCAGAGCAAAGAGGACACTGACAGCATGCCGACAGACAAGACAGAGCAGGTTCCTTTTGTTATGAAACTAAGTCTCAGCTCTCAAATTTAGTCATTTTGTAATAAATTCAAACAATAAATACAGTTTTGTGGCTCTTTAATGTGTCGTGACAGATCGCTGTAGCACCTCAGTTCAAGCGCCACATGAACCGAACATCTCTTCCTCTTTACTAGTTATAGCACAAAACAAACATGAATGAACATAATAAGGTATCTTGTTTCAACAGCAGAAGGACGTCAATACACATAATGACTTTGACTTCTGACTTTACCTGTTCATCTCCACCGACGTTAATCTACTCTCCTGTCTGGTTTGTTTGTCGGACAAAATGTTACATTCTGCGTTATGATTGGTCTGACTGCCTGTCAATCAAACTCCCTGCAAAGGGTCAATTGTAGTGTCAATGTTATATCAGTTACGAAACAACTTTTATTTATCTATAAAGCAGCTCTAAAGAAGACAGGTCATACAGGTTTGAGAGTGAGTAAATAATGATTGAATATTATTACCTTAAAATCATTCTGGCTCTGGTCTTTTTCAGCCAGAACATTTGCTTTTAATGATTTTTATGAGATCTATAATTCAAAGAAAGGAATATTACATTGTTTTCTATGACTACTGCCAATGCTTTTATGATAATACATAAAATAGTCTTGACGCAAAATAAATATCCTTTACATATTCTCAGGTTGCCGATCCTCCAAGGAGGGACGTTCACCTTCATCACTCCGACTTTAGCTATCCTCGCCCTTCCCAAGTGGAGATGCCCAGACACAGGTGCCACCCCTCACCCTAATGCCACAGATTCTGCAGCGCTCTTAGTGGATGATGATGAGGTGTGGAAAGTCCGCATCCGTGAGGTACTGTAGGAAATGTCATTTCAAAGCTGATCAAAATAATTGCAGTGTTCACTTTTTGCTGGAGTTTGAAACAAGCGTGGCTGTTCTGAGCTGTGAGTCATGTGTCAGAAGGAAATGTGAGTCACCAGCGGCCGACGGACGATAATTATCCATTTTGTGCTCAAATTACACATTCGTATGCACATGGAAAGTGCAAACATACATTTTTGTGAGTTTTAGAGACTTGCATATCTTTACGAAGCCTGGTCTGAAATTAAATAGCTGGAAGCTTTGTGAGCAAGTTTAATCCTCAACGATACTTTCATTGAAGTTTTACATTTATGCATTGGTGGATGCTTTTATTCAACCCAACTTTCAAGATATGCATTTCATCAATTTATGCATTACCTGGAAATCAAACCCATGATTTTGGTGTTGCTAGTGTCATGGTCTAATGTTTGCAGTACAGAAATGTTTTAAAGACCTTTTAAATGGCAAATTCTTGTGGAGCTCACAAGAATGATATACAAGAGAAAGACAAAAAAAATTTTTGTGTACACAGTAGAGTGAAAAATTGTGGCGTCATTAAACATATTGAATTAATCTACAGTAAATACAATAAAATTCATAAAAGCATTCATAAACATTTGCACGTCTATAAAGATGTTCACATCTAGAAAGGTTTGTTTTAGAAGCTGCCAATACATTTCAGTAATGTACAAAAATGTATGTAAGAATGCTACTAATACTAATGAGATCATGTTGAACTATAATTTGTCTGCTCATTTAAAATAATGAGTGTCTAATGTAAGATTGTATCATTTATTTTTATTACTGTAATAAGTTTACCTTTTTAATCTCAGGTTTTGAGAGCAGCTCTTGTCTTGAATGAGAGGAAAAACTATAATATTTAATATCTTCATGACCAAATATTTGCACTCAAGGGCATTTTGAGCTTTAAGGTACATTTTGAGTCATATTGTAAAAAATATATTGGTGTTCTCTGTATCAGGAGACTTTTCTGCTGTATTTACATTACAAGTTGTTATTTTTTTATCGTGTTATTCAGATATAATAATCGTTCAAAGATTTTCATGGCATTTTTTTTTTGATGAACAAAAAAGTGAGCTTGCACTATTTAACCTCCCTCCCTTCCCCAACAAATTAAAAACCTGACCTGTTGTTTCAGAATAGAAAAGTATTGTTTAAACTGAGTCATATTGTAAAAAATATATTGGTGTTCTCTGTATCAGGAGACTTTTCTGCTGTATTTACATTACAAGTTGTTATTTTTTTATCGTGTTATTCAGATATAATAATCGTTCAAAGATTTTCATGGCAAAAACATTTTTTTTTTGATGAACAAAAAAGTGAGCTTGCACTATTTAACCTCCCTCCCTTCCCCAACAAATTAAAAACCTGACCTGTTGTTTCAGAATAGAAAAGTATTGTTTAAATATGGCAAGAAAAATAAAATTGCTTAATGAATAAACAACTCTTCTTCTCTTTCCGTAGATCCAGGGGGCCATTCTAATGGCCTCAATGCTTCAGCTTGTTCTGGGCCTGTCGGGTCTCGTGGGGCTAGTGTTGAGGTTCATCGGGCCGCTGGCCATCGCTCCCACCATCAGCCTCATAGGACTGTCGCTCTTCATCCAGGCTGGCCAGAAGTCAGGAGCCCACTGGGGAATTGCTGCTTTGTGAGTTATTGTGGAGTTAAGGGTAACTTTGCGAGCTGAGTCAATACAGTAATTTGTATTTCTGATGGTGTAGGACTTCTGCAGATGTAATGCAAGGCCCCTTTAAAAACAAAACGTCCCTCAGGGTTGAGCGTTTATCTGTAAAGATCATCCCACTTTACTGTTTTCATTTACATGATAATACATCGCTCAGATCCTTTGCTGAAAAATTTTGTTCATTACTCATCCTCAAGCATTCCTAAGAGAATACATTAATGTTGGTAAGGTTTGAGCGTCTCGCCCCTCAAACGCTCCCTGTCCAGGTGCCTCTGAGTAAACAAAGGTTTAAGGCACATACTGTATGTGTGTCAGAGACTCATTAGGACACATAGTAAACTTCTCATCCCAAATCCTGTAAATTAGATTCAGATTGTGACTTCTAGCAGCATTAATTGGTGTACAAGAGAAGAGATGCTATTAAAAAAAAAAAAAGAAAGAAAAGAGAGGAAAAGAAAAGTGTGTGTGTGTGTTTGTTTTTTGTTTGCATGGATTTTTTTTGTTTTCTTTTTTTTTTGCTGATATGCTTTCATTTGAAGTTCATTGCTATTTCATTATAAAAGCAGTTGCTATGAAGATGAGGATATTAAATGAAATATCACATTAAAACCAATCCTTAATCATAATCCTATTCCTCATTCTAGTCCAGTGCTTAATCTGATCCTCATTAATCTTAAACCTCTACTACAACATATACAGTGTAGAACCCTTTGTTGCTGAAATGAATCTGAAAAATTCAATCAAATTATATCCGATTTTAAACTATGCCTTGGTTACAGACAGTTTGTAGGTTATTTACATTTTGTTCTTGAAGGTAAGGTTACATTTAACATTTAAGATTACATTTCAACCAGGGTTTAAACGTGGCAGATACTTGGAAAGAATTAGACTTTTCTTTGGTAAATCTACAAAACAGATAAAGAAATAGACTAAAATATTAAAATGACTGTGATCAGAATTATGATTTTAGGTTATTTTAAAAGGAAGTGTGTGTGTGTGTGTGTGTGTGTGTGTGTGTGTGTCATACTTAATCTTTTACTTTTTTATCACATATATACTTTTTTATTGTCAAGTTGTGTGTATTTTTTATATGGGATGCTTAGGGTTTTTTCTTACCCATAGTATTGATTCTTGGTGAGTTTATTAACATGAATGATAATGCTAATTAAGTATAATTCACGTAAGTCTGTAATGATGTCTTCTTTCTACAGAACTGTTTGCCTGATCCTTCTCTTCTCCCAGTATTTGAGCAAAGTAAACCTTCCTCTCATTGCTTATAAGGACAAGAAGTGGAAAGTCTTCCAGTACCCTCTCTTCAAACTCTTTTCTGTGAGTATTTTTTTTTATTTGTATTATTTCATAATTATGTCTGTATAATGTAATTGCGTAGGTATATCTACTGTGGGAACCGAAGGTCTGAGGCCACTAGAGAAAATACTTCAGTGTTGCTTTTCAAATTGTCATCACAAATTATATAACAGCCTAACAATTTGAGTGAAAAATTAACTTGAATTTGTACATTTCCTAATATTGTATATGTCCTCATTTTATTTTAGTGACCGCATGTTTTTGAGTCCTTCAGTAAAATCAGTGACCTAGAAATAGTACAGAAACTTTCTTATTAAAAAATGTCTTATTCATTTTATGATGTAGTTTAAAATGTTTTAAAAACCTAATTTCCAGGTTGAAATGGGATTTAAAAAATGCCCAAATGTGATTTTGATTGAGGTCTCAAACTTTATATATGTTATACAGTTATCTCATATAAATGTCAGGATCACTAAAACGGATTTATTTTAAGTAAACAATAGAAATAAACATATGGAACAGTTAACAATATTATGCTAAACGTCGATATACATATGATGCATTTGCAAGGTTTCCACCTTAGTCTGTAAACTAGTCAAATGGGAGTTCTGAAGTATTTTTGTGTATGCAGTCTGAAGATCTTGTCAAAAGAGTTGTGGGAAGAGTTAAACTGAAAATAATAGTTTCAAGTCTTGTTGGTTTGAAGTGTTGGCAAAAATCGAGAAATGCCCCAGGGCTAATGCTTTGCTTGTCACATTTTACATGCTACAGATAACAAAACAATTGCAAGCATCGTTAACCTGAGCCACTGACATTAATTGGCATGAAAGTAAGCCAATATCCAGCCTGTAAAGTCTAACCTTTAAAAAGGAGAAAGAGAAGTTTATGCATGTTGTGTTTAATGTACAGGCTTTATTTGGGATGTGTGGAGCCTGGCTGGTGTGCTTCCTGCTGACATATTTCAATGCCCACAATAGAAATAAACATATGGAACAGTTAACAATATTATGCTAAACGTCGATATACATATGATGCATTTGCAAGGTTTCCACCTTAGTCTGTAAACTAGTCAAATGGGAGTTCTGAAGTATTTTTGTGTATGCAGTCTGAAGATCTTGTCAAAAGAGTTGTGGGAAGAGTTAAACTGAAAATAATAGTTTCAAGTCTTGTTGGTTTGAAGTGTTGGCAAAAATCGAGAAATGCCCCAGGGCTAATGCTTTGCTTGTCACATTTTACATGCTACAGATAACAAAACAATTGCAAGCATCGTTAACCTGAGCCACTGACATTAATTGGCATGAAAGTAAGCCAATAAATCCAGCCTGTAAAGTCTAACCTTTAAAAAGGAGAAAGAGAAGTTTATGCATGTTGTGTTTAATGTACAGGCTTTATTTGGGATGTGTGGAGCCTGGCTGGTGTGCTTCCTGCTGACATATTTCAATGCCTTGCCCTCATCTCCAAATGAGTACGGCTACATGGCCAGGACAGACATCAATCTTAATGCAGTAAAAAGTGCTGCATGGTTCTACGTGCCTTATCCAGGTGAACCTCCTTAAACTATACAGCAATTAACACGGGCACTTTTTTTTTACAACCCTGTAGTTTTTTGAAAAATTTTGCAATTTTGTCATTGTCTTTTTTATAAATTTTTTATGTAAAGATTTTATTGTTTTGCACTTGTTTCAGACCCATAATTTCACACTTCTTCACACTTTAAAAAATATTTATCATATTGTGTTGCATACATTTCTCAATTTATATATATATATAGAGAGAGAGAGAGAGAGAGAGAGAGATAATATGTAAAAATAATCACTCTCAACATTTATTTTTACACATCATGACAATGAAAAGCATGCTTGAGATGACAAAAAAAAAAAGATAATATCAACAAGTTAAATAAGGATAAGTTAAATGCTAAATATGATTTTAGCTTTCGTAAAAAAAAATGTTTTCCTAAACATTACAGAATTCTATCTGACAAAAAACAAGTTGCAATGTCGTGGAAATGAGATTTCAGAAAAAAAATTTTTTTATAGAGATTATTGTCTAATATCCACAGGGCCAAAAATTCCCATAGTTTAAAAAACATGCATATCTATTATCTCTTATCTGTAAAAATTCCAGATGAAATAATCAAACGAATCTTATAATGAATTAAAATACCAAAAAAAAAAAAAAGACAATGAACAGTTTGATGCAAAGATATATGGTTTCCCTGGAACTAAAAAAAAACATCTGGCATTTATGAATAATATATGTCACATGAATACCTATTTTCATAGTCGATGAGCATGAATGTTAACTGTTTCAACAGCACTGTCAAAGCTGGTTCCCAAGTGCTGTTTGCCAGCTGTTTTTAAAAGACGTATCTGTTTAAAGAAGAATGAGCCATCTTGAATGGCAGTGTTTCTTTCAGAATCCAGAGATGAGAGATACGTCTGCTCCAGGGGCATTGGTGATAAAGTGACATGAATGGGGCTCTTCTAGTTCATCCTGAAGAAGATTTAACAACTGTCATTCACAGTGAAACATAGTTTGCTTTGCTTGGGTCAATTCTCACCCATAAAGGTGTGGTGTATTAATGTCTGAGACACATGCGGCAGTCAGGCTTATGATTCTTCACATCTGTTTCAGCTTTTTGCTCAGTTTCATCTCCTTTCAATGATTCTGTTGTATTAAGAAATGCTTTCAACACTCAGTGCCTCTCTGCTATGAATCAGCTAGCAAATATATGTGTTTGAAACAGCTTTAGGTTTCCATCACTTTGCACAGCATCCCATTTGAGTTCTTTAGATAAAGTACCACCCGGAGGCTTCCATGTTGGGGAATGTGGTATTTTAATCTTCAGATAGATAATACAGGTTTGACTGCATCAGTGTCTGAATGTTACTGAGTGCAATTCATAATTTCGCTTAACCCACTTAAATTCCTTGAGACATCTATGAGCTTCGGGCTGATATATGAGAATGAAGAAGCATGAGCCTCATGTTACTGTGTACACTTTACACTATATGCTCCTCTCAGCCATCCACTTTGAATGATAGCAGATGTCTTTTGAAGCCATTGATCTGTGAATATACTGAATAGTGTAGATATTTTATTCTGGATAACTTTTGGATATTGTAACGAGAGGGGCGGGGCCGAGAGCCGTGGGAACAGAGCGAGGCCGGTGGAGTAATTGCGAATGCGCGACACCTGCGCCACTCACCGGTCTCGAGTCTCACGGAGGAGCTCCGGAAGGATAAAAAGGAGGAGTGACGACAGGGAAAGACGAGAGAGGACCAGGCCTGGAGTTTATTTTGTGTTTTGGTTTTGTTTGTGCGCGGCAGTCGTCCGCGAGGGGCTGTCGCGCTGTTTTGTGTTTGTTTATTTTATTAAAGAGTTCTTTGAGTGTTCGCCGGTTCCCGCCTCCTTCTTCCCGACCTACAAACTACGTTACAGATATATTTTTTATTTATAGTGTATGTTTACTATAAATGTTTACTGTAGTGTTTTAAAGGGGTCATATGATGCGATTTCAATTTTGTAAAGTTGCAAAGTCTAAAGTCCAAAGAGATATTCTTTATAAAAGTTGAGCGTCAACCACGCCTACCTAAAACGGCTCGTTCTAACACGCCCCCACATGTCTACGACACGATGTGGGAAGATTTGCATAACGCCGCCCAGATGTTCACGTAAAGAAAGAAGGCGTAACTTTTATTCTCGCTGTAGTATTGTTGTACTGTAGTATTGGCCGCCATGCCATGGAGACGCTGTGTGTTTCGTTGTGAAAGCGAAACCACTTTGTTTGGCCTTCCAAAAGAGGACACGACTAGAAATCGGTGGTTAAGTTGTATTTACAACCCTGTTCCAGAACAGTTTAAACCAAATATTCAGATGTGTCCAGCGAGTTTTATGGAGGACTGTTTCCTGATCCTGGTAGAGTAGACTACAGTGACGGCTGTTCTGACTCACAGACTGTAAGTACGTTTTTTATATTTAAAGAATTTGCCACTGACAATTCAAACGCAAGTTTTTTTGGGCAGTGTAAAGTAGCACTTGTTGTTTGTCATTTCTCCGATCACAAATGCAGACATGGTTTTATGTCACGCTCCGGATCTCAACAGCCATTCACTGCCATTATAAAGCTTGGAAGAGCCAGGGCATTTTTTTATATAACTCAGATTGTATAAGTCTGAAAGAGGAAAGTCATAAACACCTAGGGTGGCTTGAGGGTGAGTAAATCATGGGGTTATTTTAATTTTTGGGTGAACTATCCCTTTAAGGATGTCAGAGTGTATTAAATATTCATTAATAATGTATTTTTTTAGATAGAGGTAAAATCTTTGTTCTTAGTAAATCATGTTTTTAATAAATATTATGTAACAAATATTATTTTACTAAAACATATACAAGTTTGGGGTCAGTACGTTTTTTAATTATTTTAAAAGAACTGTTTACTGTGTTAATATATTCTAATCAGCAAAAATATTTTGTTTTGATAATAAGAATCGTTATTAATACTTGAGCAGCAAGAATTCAGAAGGATCATGTGACACTGAAGACTGCAGTAATAGCTGCTGAAAATTCAGCTTTGCATCACAGGAATAAATTACATTTTTAAATATATTTAAATAAAGAATACTTAATTTAAATTGTAATAATATTTTCACAATATTCCTGTTTTTGCTGTATTTTTATCAAGAAATTGCAGCCTTGGTGAGATTCTTATGAGACTTATTTCAAAAACAGTAGTAGTGTAGTAGCCATCCACACTGCATGTCAAGTCAAATCTTATTTTACATAGTGCTTTTCCCAATACACATAGTTTCAAAGCAGCACAGAGAATCATTGTTGATGTTTATAATATTTTAATATATTTACACTTTATAGTTTGTAGATTAGAGCTCGATGAAAATATAAGCAACGTTTTGTGACAATATAAACAATCAAGCAGTTGAGATTTGCAATATATTATGTGCTTTATCTGAGTATACTGTATGTATGTGGATAAAGTTGGATATACTTATATATAAGAATCTGCAAGTCATCCTGAGGATATCCTGTTCAGAAGTTCAAGTTGTTTAGGCTCTTAACATTGAGTGTTGCCTTCTCAATGACTGTTTGTACCTTTAATGATCGTTCCTGTGCATGAGTCCTGAGCAGTGAAGGTGCCCACTCTTCTCAAAAATCCTCCAGATCCTGTAAATTATTTTGGTTTCTGAGCATCCTCTGCACTTTTGAACTCTTACCTATTTAGGGCAATTCAAGGATTCATCTATTACAAACAGCTTCAGGCCGGCATTAGTGCTCAAGGAGGCAACACATGACATTAATGTCATTTTTTGAGGAATGTTTAAACATCTATAATGCAGCTTTCTCAGGGTAGTGCTATTTTTTAAAATTCATGTTTTAAAGATTTTCTCTCTTGTTTTTAAATGTTAAACATGCCGAGTTGTGTTTTACAGCTCTATCTTAATATTTTTTCTTAATCTGTCTCCATTTCATGGGAATCAAAATTATAACATTCCCTACATGTTTAAAAAAGTTTTTTGGTTGTTTGGTTTGGGTTTCATGACAGTGTTTTGGATGAATTTTCCTTTAACGGTGCCAGGTTGGCAGCAGATTGGTACTTCAGACTGCTGGGCTTCTTATGATCATCTTGGGACTCTTTGGTAAATTCAGCGCAGTCTTTATAACTATTCCAGACCCGGTCATCGGTGGAATGTTTCTTGTCATGTTTGGGATGGTAGCAGCAGTGGGAATTTCCAATCTGCAGGTACACCTGATAGTCGTCATGTATTTTTATTTCATTTTTCATTTCATTATTTTAAAATTGCATGTCAGGGTGACTTCTTCTAAATAAATACATACTAATGAGTCATCATCTCATTCATATTTCATTTTATGTTACTGTTTTTCTTGCAGTATGTGGATTTGAACTCTTCCAGGAATCTCTTGATTCTTGGCTTCTCAACCTTCAGTGGTCTTGTGCTCCCAACCTGGTTTCACTCGAATCCAGGCACGATCAACACAGGTGAATATAACATTAGAATACATACAAATTTACACAAGCATTTAACTCGTCAGTAATGGGGTATATAAAGAAGTGATATTAGTCAGTAACGGCAATAGTTAAAACTACAGACAACTTGTACAGTAGATCTCCTTGTAAATGATCATACTATGATCATTCAGTGCTGTTTTAGATAGACTGCTGGTAGTAATCCTTGAACACATGGGTACCTTGTAGTATGGCCAAAAAGATCAAAAGAACCCAAACCTGGACAGCAGACAAAGAGTTTGCTCGTGATGTTAACCAGATCTTGCAGGAACACTCTAGGCATTCACACAAAAATGTGTTGTTTTTTTTATAAATTCTTGATTGCTTTGATATAAATGTCACAGGACCGAGACTATATACAGTATA